GAATGTCACAGCTCTAGCGACTTGGAAAACTGCACTTCTGTCCTTGAATATTTTTAGTTTTGCGGCTTTTAACGCTTGACTATTATTGAAAAACTAGCTGGCTTACCCGGCTCCGCCGTATCCGGACCAAACTTGGCACACATACACTTCGGGCCCCGGCGGGTGTCACAGTCCACTTTTCGTTATCGATCGATGTCGATTTTACCGATTTTTATCGATTTTTTTGCAGAGTTCACCTACAGGGCTAGGAGTTGGCACAGGGGGGGAAGTGAGCATGGGGATTCCGAATACAACATTAGTCTTCAGGATCGTCCATTACTTTTATCGATTTTATCGATTTTTTTGTAAAGTTTGACCTGCGGGGCTGGGAGTTTGCACAGAGGGGTAATCGAGCATGCAGATTACGAACACAATTAGTTTTCAGGATCGTCCATTACTTTTTCGATTTTATCGATTTTTTGAAAATTTGAGCTGGGGGGGCTGGAATTTGGCACAGGAGTGTAATCGAGCATGCTGATCACCCCCCTTGGGGGTGATCAGCATGCTCGATTACCCCCCTGTGCGAACTCCCAGCCCCCTAGCTCAAACTTTGCAAAAAAATCGATAAAATCGATAAAAGTAATCGATAATCCTGAAAACCAATATTGTATTCGAAATCCCCATGCTCGATTACCCCCCTGTGCCAACTCCCAGCCCCGTAGGTGAACTCAGCAAAAAAATCGATAAAAATCGATAAAATCGATATCGATCGATGACGAAAAGTAGCCTATGACACCCGCCGGGGCCCGTAGTGTATGTGTGCCAAGTTTGGTCCGGATCGGTTCAGAAATGGAATTTTCTATTCGGAACATACGTACACACAGACAGACAGACAGACATACAGACAGACATACAGACAGACAAACAGACATCCAGCTTTATATATAAGATTTTGGGAATCACCTGGCTGAGGCCATGCACCTTAATTTGAAAAAAAATTTTTGCCGCACCTCCCCGGACGGAATGCTGGGACCAGGGCCCGGCGGGGGTGGCGTTTTCACAAGCTGGATATCGTTTTTGGCCCGAAAAAGCAAAGGGGAAGTCGTTTTTTGGGGTCCGGGGCGGAGTCCCGGAAAAAATTGGTAGTTCATGCTCGCTGCTTGTCTTAACATGTTATGTCCCTCAACAGGCGAACACTGGAGTTCGCGCTCGTGAAACCGCGCCGTCGCTAACTGCCGCACGCGCGACGTCGCTCAAACGATGCTGTTTGTAACGCATAAATGACGAGTTCTCAATGTTTGCGTAACGATATGGCACCAAATTTTGTAAGCGAACGGAGAGAGACTAATGGAAACAAAGTATGAAAAATCATGAAAAACTTATGTAAACGGACGAGTAATAAGCATTTTTTCCGAAAATTTTGTAAAATTGGTAAACGAAGATGCGCATTCAATTGGCTCGTTTGCAACGCACAGATGACGATATGCTACGAAACTTGGTACATACGTGGACACAAGCCTGTAAGAGATTAGTTAGGAGTTTCATTGAAAAATTATGTGACTGAAGGGTAGCAAGGTTTTTTCTGAAAATTTCCCACTATCAAGAAAATGGAAAAATGGCTCGTTTGCAACGCAGAGGTGACGAAATTGCGCGGGATTTGGTGTGTATATGCGCAGTAGGACTAAGTAACAAAGTATGAAAAATTATGAGAAACTTATGTGAATTTGAAAAATGGTAAGTGTTTTTCGAAATTAGGTGGCTCCCGCGCCACCTGGGAGCCACCTGGGGTGGCTCCCTGCTTTCCTTCACATAATTTCCCGGATTTCTTTACATAAATGTGGCTTAGGTCGAGAGTATTACTACATGTTCAAATCCGCTTCCAAAACCACCAAGGCACCGCTTCGATACAGCCCCAAATAGGGTTCACAGCGTTATGGTCGGCCTCGGAAAGCGCGCTCCAATCGCAATCGGTGCACCTTGCACAGACGACGCGGAAACTTTGAGAAATTGACTTTTTGCCAGATTACTGATCGCTGATTGAAGCAATCTTCTCAGTCTTCAACCGATTGCTTCTTCGATAAGCCCTAGAGGGCTCAGAAGGGTCAGCGATCATATTTGATCGCAATGTTCTATGCAAAAAGTTGTTTTTGTAATCGTATTTTTTCAGTTTTCGCAATATGGTCAATTTTTCCGTACTTCCGCTCTTTTGAGTCGTTAGTAATAAGTCGTTAGTAAGTGTAATTTTTGGCCATCCTCTCAAACGATGACCCGGGCTGGACCAGGAAAGCCAGGGAGTAGTACTATAATAAGCGCTGAGGCCGCCCATCTTATTATTTGTGTATATCTGTTTGTCAGGGACTTACGGGGGCCAAAAATAGGGTCAAAGGGGAAGTCGTAAGAAATTTTGGCTTCAAAGGGATTTCGTTTTCAAAATTCTGAAATGCCACCTCCTGCCGGTCCCTGGCTGGGACCGCCACTGCTGCCTTTCTAAGCACCCGCCGACCACCCACGAACAATGCCACGCCAATCCCGAGGGCTATGTACCCATCAAGTGCTCGCGGACAGACTGATAAGCGCCTGAACAGAACCCGCGGATGGCCCGGCAAGTGCCAAGCATGTGCGCGTACTCCATACACGCAAGCAATAAAAAATTTATGTATCTCAATCGGAAAATTCTCTGAGTACCGTTTCCACCCACTTTTGAACTTGAAGGCCTGGATAAAGATACAATACAAAAAAACATACCTTTGTCATGAAGTCGTAACCATACCCCAAAACCTATCTGGTTCCTCAAGTTATCCTACTCAGGACAATTATTGCGAGCGCCTGCGGCTCCTGACTGCCTTTTGGAGCTAGGCGGGCTTCAAGTTTTTGTTCTGGCCATCCCCATCGACCACCAGAAGTTAATACCTCAAATCAGGTTTTTGAAGAACAGAAAAAAAAGCTAAACTCGGTTTTTTCGAGAACTAGCTCTTGTAAAAGGCTAAGAAGCTACGGTTGTACTTCTTAGTCTATGTAGTATAGAACTGCATGCGGGAACAGCCTAGCGTCAGTTTAGCCACGAGAAAATTACAACTACTGCGTACATAAACGATTAATGAGGAATGTAGGTCCATGAGCAAGTTGGGGTCCGTAGCATAGGTGCGATAAGGTGAGGATGACTCCTCCAGGGTAAGAGAGTCACAGTGGTTGCAGTCCTTTCAGTGTGAAGGGTGTTTTACTTGATTGAGAAATTGTAAAATATCGACCGAGGTGGGGAGAGGGTGTTGGTGTTCTCTCATCATTCTCCCTAATCAACTTTTTGTCGTTTTCAATTCTCTACCATCATTTGCTGTCTTTTTTGTGAAGATAGGAGTAGGATTGGAAACATCCCGTTTGTTGAAAATACCACAGAGTAGAAGTTGTGTAAGCAAGAACATCTGTTCAGCATTTACAAATTCTAGAAAAAAATTTATAAATTCTAAATGAACAGCAACGTCAGCAAGGAACATGTTTTCAGAACCATCTTTTCTTTCACTTTCAGAAATTATATAGTTTGTCTGGGAGTCCGTCTGGAGTCATTTCAAAAAAGTGCCTGGCGAAGCTGGTGGGTAGTATTAGGTTGATGCATAATTCTTGCACCAAAATATTAAAAACTCTGTTACTTCATCCAGCTGCGATGAAATCTTTTGGTTCGATACATAGTAGAGAGGGCAAATCTTGCGCTTTCCGATGGTGCTCGAGCCAAAAGTCTATGAGGGCATATGGCAACGATACAAGGTGAATAAGAGAAATACCCAAAAAGTGATTTTTCGATTTTTAGTCACTAAAACGTTAAAACGCTAAAACGTTTGCTAGAATTTAAATTTATTTTTGGTCTAAGTTTTATGGCATGCTCTTTTTAACTAAGAGAAGTTGGTATTGATTGGATGTCTCTGCGAATATTTACGAAATTCGATTTTTTTGAAATGACTTATCGATTTTGTTTTAAATTGATTTTCTAAAATGTACTATCAAATACTACTTTTGATGTACGTAATGTAGAGCAGAACATGTAAGTTGAATAGTTTGTTTAAGCATTTTTAAAATAATTTTTCTGTACTTTTTGGTGCAAGAATTGTGCATCAACCTAATAATTTCCAAATATTTGCGAATTTTTAAATTAAAAAAATCCATAACTTCTGTAGATGAAGATCTTATACGCCGAGATGGTAAACATCGGAAAGATCTTGTCAAACTTCATAGTACGGAGGAAAATAGAAAAGAATGTTCCTTCTTGTAATTTAGTGGAATACGTTGCGAATCAAAGCATTGATGAGCCGTTGAGAAAAATAGACGGATGGACAATAAGAACATCAAAATGGATTCCCTGTGAAGAACGTCTCCGAGGAAGGGCAGCAACGAGATGGGCAGACGCGCTTGTGGAATGGATGGACCAGCTGCGAAATGGCTGAGTGCGACTTTCGTACGTGGGTCGTGAACGCAGCCACTGATGACTCCAAGTAGATTGTGAAGTTGTGACGACTTCAAATTGAAAACTTTTGTGCTAGGATCCCCACGCCACGTGTAGACGGGCCATTTAAGTATTCAAATAAGTGTCCTATATTCTTGGAGGAAACTTTCGGGTGAATGTTTTTATTTTCTTCATGTTTTCTTTCCTTTTCAGGTACTGCTCTGGACATGATCAATTGATCTTTTTGCTTTTGGTGTTTGCGATTGTAAAGATTCAAATTAGGTTGCAGACACCAAAAATGGACGGTGTATGCAATGCACACATGATCATATGAAATGACTTGATTTTAGTGAGGAGAACATCAAAAAGATCAAAGAAGAACTATGTGAAATTTTTGAAACCAAAAAGAGCTTCGTTTGCGAATCTCCTTGGTTCCAAGTGATTCGAAGCCTTTGGTGAGACAATGTCTTTTGATTCAGTTTGCTAAAGACGCAGCAGCACTTGTAGATGAACATGCTTCTTCATGGAATATGACAGGACATGCTTATTTATGCGAAACAAAATTCATTGACACGTTTAGTATTATATGAATCGTAAGCCACAACAATCAAATTCAGATAAGTATCGCTCGCTTCAGTGTAAGGCCTTTTTCTTGCATACAAACGCTCTCATTCTGTGGTCACAGCGTATGTCATTCCATTTGTGGTACTCATTAGCGTCTCCAGTATTATCAGTGGCCAGCTGAAATGAATTTATGTGAGGAACTGAAACAAGGAATACGTCAAATATTAGATTGGAAAGAAGAATGTCGTTTTTACAGCAAAGCATCAAGGCAGATCCAAAAAATATGTGAGGAATACCATTCGATAGCGCAAAGGAACCTCTACAATGTGACCTTTGAACATTGCCAAAATCATAGTTTGCCAAAAGTTTGAAGCCAAAACATGAGAGCAACTGAAAGGAAAATAGAGCGAAGGCATTGATGACTTAAAAGGACTCAAGCAATTGCCAGAGGTTTGAACAGTTGATAGGGATTTTTGCGGCGTTTAGGTAGTAACGCTAAAAGAGTTGTATGATTAACGACTGAATTCGCTATTGCAAACACAATTTTTGTGATGCATTCTTTAGAAGCAAAAATTAATCAATCATTATCAAACACTCAAGTCTTCTACCATCACTAGCACAAGGCTCAGAATCGTTCTTAAAATGATACTGTCCACTTACAATTCAAGAGTAATAATTCAAACGATTTCAAATATAGCCTTCTCTTCGTCACCTAAATACAAAAGGCAAACAGGCACTTTTTTACCTCAAGTTGTCTAAAAGTCGGCTCTATTTATTTTGATTTACTCGCGAATCGCTCGTGAACGCTAAGCAAAGAGAAATGTGTACCTGTAATTTGTGATGGTTAGAGGCACCGTCCAGCCAGATTCTCGACTTCCATGTTTTTGTCGTTCCGGAGCCCCCTCATGTCCCTGATTCCGAATATGGTCGAGAATGGCGAAAACCCCGACAATCCTGTTTCGGGGAATCCACAGGCCGGCTTCCCAGAACGGTGATTGGATGGGCGCACACACAATCTACTATCATATGCTGCCAAAAGCTCAAAACCTCCAATTTAGGGTGGACTGCCTTTAAGCACCGACGAAAACTGCACTGCATTCTTGCGATTTGAAAACGCTTTTACATCCTATATGACTGGCTGCTTATACATCTAAAACCTTCCTTTTTAGAGCTTTTATGGTTGCAATCTGTGATGTATCCGTTTTGCTTTCGCTTCTTCGTATTATTTATTGGGTTGTTTTGTTCTACCCGTTTTGAAGTTAAAGTTTGACTTGCTACAATTCTTTTTGGAAACAAATCGTTGCGAATGCAATAAAATGTGCTACAGTCTATAAATCTTGGGCAAATTTATGCATACCCGAATGTCACTGCAGCAACAACAAAAAGATATTCTAAGGGCAAAGCGCAAAACATTTCTTCATAAGAACCTCTACTTTGAGAGACCATAACTTATTTTGAGCTATAGATTTGCAAAAGCATTGCTCGCTGTATAGTCAAAAGTTGACTAAGCAGCGCTGTTGCCTTCGAATTTCACCAAAATCCTTTGTTAAAGTCCTATCTAGTAGGTCGGTGCAAAAATAATGGCCGATTTTGCAAGCCTTTCCCAGGGCAACTTTTGACTATAGAGAAGTATTGATAAGACAACAGATGTAGCGCACCATCGAGAAGCTGTTTTCACGCTCTATCTAATGGTGTTTGGAACGGGCTTTCATCCTCATCTGTTATGAATTACTGAGCTTCAAATAACCGTATCCAAATTCAGAACTTCATTGCATTTACTTTTCTAATCAGAATTTAAACGCGTATCAAGACATTCCTTCAAAAATTCGGTTATTGTATGTAATAGAAATTGTCTACATTATGCGTAGTTGACTGTATTCTTTGAAGTTACCCAGACTGAGATATCGGCTCCTAAACATGGGTAACTATTGCGATCCAGTCGCCGAAGCTTTGCTCAATTCTATAGTCGTAGGGCTAGGACATCCTATTAGCAGTTTTTGCAGAAACATCCAGCTGTTCAGTACGTAGAAAATCAGAGCATTCTATATTCGGGACTTACAGGCACACTGAAAAAATGTTGAAAAAACTGAAATATTTTAAATTTTAAATTTTTTTCTTCCTTGCAAACTTTTTGTCCGAACTCTTTTTATTGTATTTTGTACTACTGGCTTGCGGCTACAAGATAGGCCACTTTTCATTCATACTAACAAACTTTAAAGGAAGTTATGAATTGTCAAAAACAGGATTCTAGCAAAAAAAATCCTTTTTGTTTTTCAAACCATATTTCTCTGCCCATTTTCCTGATATGAGTATAAGTAAATGTGCGCTTCTTGCAGAAGGTTTGCTGCTTCTGAGTTGACCGCATTCGGAAACATAAATCTTTTGAAAAGTTATAGCACGTCAAAGTGAGAATTCACAAAAACGGTAAAACTTGAAAGGAGCCAGTTATTTGGTTCTTTTTGAGATGGTAGAACCTTTTTAAGGACTTCGCTCTTGTTCAACACTGACAAACAATAAAATTCTTTCGTTTTCATGGTGATAAATAGTCTAGGCTAATCTCACATATAGAGCAAAAGTCAAGCAATCGCACTGTATTTTTATGCGACTCGTGCGAAAAAAAACGACAGGTCAAGTTTGAGCTAAAAGTAACTAAAGTAACCAAATTTAGTATGGTTAGTAACCAAATTTTTTTTTGAAATTATACCATTTTGTAGTGAAGGTCCCCAGCACGTACATATTTCTCACAAAAAAATTTGTTTGGCTGTAGAATATAAGACAACAGAGCAAAAGGAAAATTTTCAGGTTTGTTGTGGTATCTATTTGAGATAACGATCCACGGAATGAACGGGCTTTATGAAAACGGTAGCATATGAAAACTAGAAGAAACTCGAAGAAAGAGCTCAGGAGATGTAGACAATTTTTACAAATAAATAGTTTGTTCCTTTGATATCAGCAGCTAAAAAGAGGTACAAAAAAAGGGTACAACTTTGAAACAGTCCAATACTTTTCACGATTGTTTGCAGATTAAAGGAAGATTTGAACTGCGGTTCAATACATTAGAATCACGGAAACTTGCTTGATACCTTTCTATAAAGAGAAACATTTACTCAAGTATTGCTAGTTTGAAAAATTTTCGTGAGCAATTTACAGTATGTGAAAAATTGTTCTCCCAAAACCAAAAAATCTGCGTAAACCTCTGAGATTTGCATTTTTGAAAAAACCTTGGCAAAATGCCTCACCTTCTACAAACTTTCTGCGGTTTGTTTTATAATCAGACTTGCCTGATTAAGCTGGTAGGATGTCGAGTGGAAAAATCAGGAACTATAGTGCTGTAAAACTACTGGGTTGTAAGGGAAGTCCACGAGCATTGCAAAAAAACTTTTTTTTTGAAACTGCTGTAACTTCAAGCAGATTGATCCTCTTTGAGAGATGTTAACTTTGCGGCAAAGGCAATGTTGTTCATAAAGCATGCCTATTTTATTAAATCCTCAGACTTCATTTCGGGCCACCAGCATGCGCAGTAGGGCGAAAGATTTCGCAGGCATGAAAACAGCTGGAGAGCTCATATTCGGTAATTATGTAAAACTCTGTTAGGGCTGTTTACAGACTCTATCATATTTACAAAACACAGCCTATAAATTATTCTTGAAAAGTTTGAAAAATCGGCTACCTTTGCACCCTGAAAATGAACCATTTTTTGTGTAAATAAGTTCGAAGTCTTCCTTTTTTTCACGAAAAGAATCGAATCTTTAATTGCTGCAGATATTATCGGGGAACCTTGCACATTTTTGGATTTTTAGGCCCATCACCGAGGAGTGAAAATTCTCACAAGAACGATCCCAATGCGAAAACGATTAAAACGGTCAAAGGCAAGTTTGAGAGCCTGTCATTCGCGTGCGCGTATTGTAAGATCCGAGCACATCTGCGGTTTGAAATGGACACATCCCTATTTAGACTGACCAACCCTACAAATCGTTTTCTTTGTTCACTGCGAAAAGATGGCAGCAAAAAGCCAAAGTGTGAGATTTTCATCGTTGCAGCAAATGAGATTTTCATCGTTTTTGGTGTATAGGCCAACTACGGCTTGACATCGTTAACAACTAGATACGAGTCTAAAAAGCTTAGGCCTTCTTCCACATAACCATACAAAATATTCGTCGTTTAAATTTCAACCGAATGCGAAAATAAGCCTGATAGAGAAATTTCCAAATCTGCTCGGGAACTTTTTTTACGACTTAATTCAGCGAAAATCAGTAGTAAAAAAAGAGAATGAGGTTTGCTTTTGAGAAAACATGATAGTCCCTTTAATTCGAATCATAAGAACTCGCTTATCAAGATGAGTTTGGGGAAATAATTTTGCTGCAGATACTATCACTCTCTTAACACCTTAAGAAAATCTAAGTCTGTAAAACTTTGTTTGGCCAGAATTTTGTCATTACGAATTTCAAAAAACTTGTGAGTATTTTAACTAGAAACGTCATAAATTCTAAATTTGTGTATCTTTTCAACAGGGTTGCTCTAAAAACAACATTCAACATTTTTCTTAGAATTTAGACTGGAAACCTGATCTAGAGATTTTACGGTTACAGCAATATTGTCTTTCGATATTCTGATTAACAATGTTTTTACTCACGCTCAGACTTTTAAAGTTTCAAAAATCCAGATCGATGTCGAAAAATCACGGTGTCCATTTAGAGTTTCTAATTTACTCTGATTTTTCGGTACTGTGCGAGTTGAAGATTAATGAAACTCACAGTCTCCAAGTGCTTCAAACCCTTATGTGATGAAGGTCTGGAATTCTCATATTCTACTCGTAAGCCTTAGAGATTTTTGAACCTTTCATAATAATATCAAGAAATAATGACTTTTCAGCAGTTTAGCTCTGATCTGAGTATGATCGTTGCAGCATTTGCCAAGCAAGAGCCGTTGGGAGGTTCTACTTGAAGTATCGAGATTAGGGTTATGGCATTGTCCGGAATCAATTTTCATTCTGCCACGCTTCCCAAATACATCACGTAGATCATAGGTCAGTTCCATAACTACAAATCGATAGAAGGCCAATGAAGCAGTGGAGTGGTTGCGCACTTCTTGATAAAGCTACACCAGCTTACTTTTTGAATGTTGCCCAAAACTTGAAGAGATTTGACAGTGTTTGTGCAAATTTTCAATCTTTCAAACTGAAGTTAGCAAATCCAATCTAAATTACTGAATAAAAAGTAGTCATTTGAATAAGAGTAAACTAATCGAAGTTAATATGCTGTACAGAATCTTGAAGTGTCCATTAATTCAACCAACTTTCCAAAAGAGGAGACTCGCAAAACTTACACATTATTTCAAGTTCCAAATGGAATAAATTCTATTAAGGTATCAAAGTCTTTTTATCCATCTCACTTTCGAATTATGTCATCAGATTGGTGAAATTTTGATAAAAAATCGATACGGTCGGATCAACGTGGCAAAAGCCAGAGCTAGTCTGGTTAATTAGGGCACTATGAGGGACAAAAAGAACTGGAAAAAAATTCCGGTTTTGTAGACTTTTAAAACATCCTCGAGTAGCTTAGAACTTACTGGTTTCAAATATCCAAATTAACACTTGATACGAAAAACAAGAAGAAAGTTACACCAATCCGGCTTTTTCAACGCGACATGTCGTTTTTATCGCCGTTGATATTCAAAAAGTACCAAGACAAAGATCAGCAAAGTTTGAGTAAACTCGTTAGACAAAATGGTGCCGGGTTCAAACATTTAGTGGGAATTCTGTTAGAGGACTTTGAACCGAGTCACACTGGTGCGGCAATTCCAACGCGACATTGCATTTAAAACGCTGGCATAGAGCCGAAAAAGCTTGAGAGTGAGATGTCAAATTTTTAAAAGCTTGTTTAGGTAGCCTACGGGACACCGAATCCAAATATCCAAATTGAAATTTGGAAGATTTAAGAAGAAGAAAGTTGAGGCGGTGCGGCGATACCAACGCGGCGATGCGTTAATTACGCCGAAGATCCCGAAAAAAGATCTTTAAAAATGAGATCTGGGATTTTTAAAAACACTTTTAGATGATTCAGAAGGCGCTGATTCCGAATATTGAAACTGGAATCCAATTAATTGAGATTTAAGCGAGCTATGGCGATGCGGCACCTCCGGCGCGACATTGCGCTTATATCGTAGAATTTCGAGGCGGGCGGGTATTGGTACTGTAATGCGATATCATCTTCCGGACAACTCAATATCAGACATTATAGCAATTTTAGCGACCAAACTTATCAAAACCAATTTCTGGTTTGTATCCATAGTAAGTTCATATCGGTTTTGATAGAAAAGTAGCTTTGATTTGAGCACTCCTCAAAATTCCAAAACTTCTCTCCATAACGTGTGTCAACTAGTTAAGATTACGAATCTCAGAAATTTTGGAGTAAGATTCATGAATTAGCCTAACTGTTTCCTAATTATAGACACTTTGTCTTCATATACATCTGGCTTTTACCCAAACTCCACGTGTACAAAGCGCGGGCTTGTTTTTAAATGATAGGCTCAAACATGCCAAAGGATTTCGCATGCTGTACATTATCTGAAAGAATCCCGCAGGGTAGGGGAACGAAGGCCGCCAGTTTAAGCCGCCTTTCGTGTCCAACTGGTCCTTTTGCAGTGTTGTTGCAAGCCGTTCCAGGATCAGTAGTCTGCGGAGGCTGCCGAAACTGGCGGCTTTTGTTAACCCAATCTTGCGCATGGCGATCGTTTTCCGAAATACAGAAAAGCGGCTGAGCTCGTCGCTTGAAAAATCGCACGATGCGCCTTGTACGCGTAAAATCAGGGTAGTCTGAGAACTTCAACGATTGAATTGCTTTTATATGTAAGTGATACCTCTCCGCAGTGTTCTCTACCATGGTAGTTATCCGGTGAACCTTTACTCCATGCTAGAAAGTCAACTTTTGTGCCATCAGTCCAGAGCCACCTCTCGCTGTTATATTCGGCTCGTTTTAGACCTATCCAAGTCCACTCAGTCCAACCAATCTTGAAACCTGACCTTGCCACATCTAAATCAGAATTATGCTCGTAATTACATTTAATGAAATAATACTGATTTACCAGCTACGAAGTGATTTTCATCAGCGCTGTGGATAGAGGTCAAATGCGCTCCAACACTTCTGCAAACGCTCTCGGCGGTGTCGAAAGTTTCCCAGAAGAAAGTCTGTAGAACTATCTCTCTTGTTAGGGTTATAAAGATCTTTTGTTCGTTGCCTCAATCATCGGAAAGAACGCATAAATTTCTGCACTTCAGAAATCTTGCTTTATTTGGAGGAGCGCCACATACTGCAGGAGAAAGACTTTTAAATGATTTTCCTGGCATTTGATGGTGGGCATGTTTTCGTTGCAAGTCAGACAACGACCTTTAAAAGTCCACAAAAAATCGCAACCCATCAGTTTTCCATCGCAAGGTTTTGCAATTTCTATGGATATTTATGTTGATAGACAAAACACAATTTTAAGACTGCGTTCAAACCTTATTTCATGCTCTTTTCAAAAGTTCTCAACAAATGCGCAGTTCACTCTCTCAACGGTACTCATATTCTGCAATGTGTGGGCAAAGGATGACAGTACTTTAGACGACGTCTCAACGTTTTATCATTGAATGTCAATTACGCACTATAGTCGAGCTTCCCTCGATTTTAGAAATGTGATAATCGGTGCAAAAAATGCGTTCGTTATGAGAAAACAATTTGAAAATCAGATATTAGGTTGATGCAAAAGTTCTTTCCGCCCATTTTCAAAAATTCATAACTTCCGATTTTTTCAACCAATGTGGCTGCATCTATTTTTGTATGAAAGAGTAACTCATGCTCTTCATAATGACATCTTAGCTGCTTGCTAATGGTCATCTGTTGCACAGATAGGAGCCATAGAACAAAAATGGTCAAAATTTGAATTTTCTGTGTAGGATCATAAAAAATCGGAAACTTGCAAGAAAAATCGGAGCAGTCAGTATTGTAGGTTCTTTTACCAGCTCTTTCCAATGGTGCAAAGCTTGCGTCGATTGAGCGTCTCTATCAAAAGTTATGATTTTCGAGCAAGCAATACAAAACGGCGATTTTGATTTATTTTGGCATTTTTCAGGAAAATCATAACTTTTTGTAGAGACGCTCAATCGGCGCAAACGTGCACTGTTAGAAAGCGCTGGTGAAAAAACCTACAGTACTAACTGCTCCGATTTTTGTTGCAAGTCTCCGATTTTTTATGACCCTACACAGAAAATTCAAATTTTGACCGATTTTCTTCTATCGCTCCTATCTATGCAATAGATGACCACTACTAAGCAGCTGAGAGGTCGTTATAAAGAGCATGACTTACCCTTTCACATAAAGGTGAAAGCATTCAAATCGGTGGAAAAAATCGGAAGTTATGAATTTTTGAAAGTGAGCGGAAAGAACTTTTGCAGCAACCTAATATATGAATAACTCGTTATTTTGATGTGGTAGGTCGCTTACACCCCCAGATATGAAAACAGTGCAAGTTCATATCAGCCTGCATCTGCCAAGAAAACTGCCTTCAGACTCCTGCGCGCGCAAGCAATTTTCAACGCGCTCGAACGAGCTCATGATTTCCCTCCCACCGTTGGAAGCGCCGCAGTGCTATGATTATAAGGGCTAATCAGCGTCTCCAACCCTCAGGGCGCTGTTCCCCTTGTCTAAATTTAGAATGGGGGACCTCGAAAAATGCCAATTTTTGGCATTCTCAAGCTCTTTGAGGTGGGTCTTCGGTATAGCACTTCGGACTACCCCAAGCAAGCGAAAATTTGGATAGAAGATTTGCCAAGCTACTGGTAACCGAAGGATTGGAAAAGGCATCTTTACCTTTATGGAAAATCAAAGAACTTAACATCTAAGTTATCAACAAGAAAATAAAAAGCCACATTGAGCACAAATCAGGTTACCTCTAAGTTTGTATTCTAACGGTTTCAGCTCTCAGTCAAATTTGAAATCGTCCTTGAGACCCAATATGGGTTATTGATTATTTTACAAAAATCTTATGTTTACTAAGAATTCAAGGCTGCACCTCCAATTAAAAAAATAGTAGCGCAATTTTTATGGCACAAATTTACGCTTGACAAAGGCCTGCGTGCAGATACTTCCTCTGGATTTTTTCGTAAATTCACTCTTCGTAAACAGACAAAAATACCTTAAGTTTTGACTCTTGCAGAGATGTCTCTGAGAACATCCAAGACACACTCGCATAAGGTTCCTAATCTCGTTTGCAAGACAGACAAGTATCAATATATGTGAGAACATTCTGATATTTTATGCAGAGTGATAAGTCTCATGATGCCGTAAAACTTCAAATTTTAGTCCTGCTTTAATTACCCTTTTCCCGAAACCAAAAAGGTCAAATGTCTAATGTGCTCAATACAGAAATCGATTAGAAATAAGCACAATTCGAAAATTACCTCCACCTCGAGATAGTATACCAACAACACATACAGTCTGCCCCAATCCTAACCAGGCCAAAATTGGCTTGGCGGGAGTGCGCGTCGCGAGGGTTTCGCGCCACTTCTGCGTCTAGCTAGTCTGCTCTCTCCTTAATCTCTTCGCTCTCTGCGACAGCGCGCGTATGCAGCGCAAACCCCTAGCGCTGCGAGCGCGCAAATTTAGCCGACGCTTCGGCCTGATCCCGATTGGTGCAGACTGTATGCACTTTCTACCTAAAAAAGTTTTGAAAGCAGCGTTCCGGCAAAGCCTTGTGTCAAACATTTTAAGCTTACGTAGGCTTATGCGTAAATATGCTACTTGGAAAACGCGAAAATGGGATTTTCTGTATTCCCCAGACACATAGCCGTACAAGGATGAGACGCAGTATTGTTGCGGTCTGACAGTGCCCGATGTGCACTGCCTAAAGCGTCTGAAGTTGGATGGGCAGAATCGCAGCTAAAGATATTTGAATCGCTTCTGGATCAACCATAAAATCTGTAGACTTTTTCCTTGCTTCGAACTCTAGTTAACGCTTGAGCATGAGCCTACTATAAACAGCTACAAGAGGCCGGCACCCCTACTATGCCTGGACACTGCCTCTGAGGTACCCTTGAGTTCAGTGATTATTCGATGTCTTTTAACCTACGGACGCTCAAAAAAGCTCCTTCTTGGTCCCATTTACGCGCCTTCAAACAAAACCGGACTAGAGTGCTGGCCATAGCTATAAAGCTACTCTAAAAATCATTGTAATTTGCCTTTACTTGCGGAAAATGGTCTGAAAAACCACTATTCTGTGTGCAAGCCAACATGACATTAACCAGAACGGCTTCCACCTTCATTGATTTTGGCCGAGGAAAAATTGAAAAATTTTAAAAAATGTTCCGAAGGCTGGTCACAGCTATAAAGCTGCCTCCCACATCCGATCAGTACTAGATTTTTTGAATTTAATATTTACATTTACAGCATTAAAGGATGAAGCATTTGTTACAACCGGGAGGTGAAGCCTTTGGAAAAAAAGATTTGTACTACATTTTTCGCTTCAAAATGCAAAAAAGTCGTATTTCAAAAAACCTTTTTCACCGAATTTTCAAGCACTTGTTTAACACGGTTAAAGGTGTTAGAATTCGCAATGAATGCTGCGAAAAGCGCTTGAGTCATCTTTGCGTACTCGCTGATATTGATGAACAAGCCTCACCTTATCGAGATAAAAGCGCGCTTCTGAGACGCGGAACTCGATTTTTAACGAAAACTTCTGATCGGAAGTTGACACTTTGTTTGCATGGCAACTTACTCATACAATAGCTGTCAGAATCTTTGCAAGGACGCATTCGCAATGTTGAAGTTAGACCGATTTGTCTGCAGTCTGGTTGTGCGCAATGACTAAAGACCAATGCTCACATGACTCTACAAGTTCTACTACTTTGTACTTCTCATAAAGACAGATTTTACAGAATGTCAAAAAATACTGGAACTTCAAGGAGTGGTTTCGGCCCGATTGAACGATTAGAGTGCGTCAATATGAAGCAGAGTTCACCATTCATTTTTGGAAAAAAGCGTCCGAGGTGTGAACCAAAATGCTCAAAGTTACGATTATATTTAAGCACATTGAGCACATGACAGAGCTTTTCGGGCATCAAAACTCAACTTCTGCGCTTTGAAAGCTCGGGTACCTGAAGGTAAGTTTGAGGCTTTATCAGACTAGCGACTACGCAATGTTGACTCAAGCGCTTTTCATCGTATTCACTGCAAAGGCTCAGCGAAATCTAAGACTTTCGAGTAAACAATGCTCCAAAATTTGGTAAAAAAAACCTCTCATGTTCGAAACAAAAAATGCATAACAGATCTTCGTTACAAAGCGATAGCTTTCAGGTGTAACAAACGTGTCATTTTGATGTTGTATATGTACAAAATTTGGATTCAAACAATTTAGTTTTGATCAAAAATGGGAGGTGGCTTTATAGCTGTGACCAGCCTTCGGAACCCGTTTTTTCAAATTTTTCACTTTTTCTCCGGCCAAAATCAATGAAATTGGGATCCGTTCTGTGGCCGTATTCATCAACGAACCCCGAGGGTTAAACTAACCCTGGAGGGTTAGTTTAACCCTGGAAAGCGTTTAACCCGTATTCATGAAACACAGGGTAGGCTTAACCCTGAGGGTTAAATCTAACCTTGAGGGTTAATTTTACCCCGAAAGCGACTAACCCGTATTCATCAACGAACCGTGAGGGTTAAACTAACCCTGGAGGGTTAAACTTACGTGATTCATCAGGGTTAATTTAACCCTAGCTCAGAGCAAGGTTAACTCTACCCTAACACTTCATACAAACATTTACTCGCATCTAATAGTTTATGGAAAACGATCAACGAGTATTGTAGTATTTAGTATTGGTTGTTGTTATAGTATTTAGTTTCAACATCGTTTTATGTTCATATTCGAAATACATGAAACACTGACTTCGCGAGGAAAAGAATTCTAGCTTTGGTGACAAATGAATGTGACGAGGAAAAATGGCATTCCACTCTAACAAGTGCCAAAACAGAAGAACCCCTTTATAATAACACGCATTGACCCCTAAAAGAGTAGCACAAGCCCGGTATAAAACGAACTGCGCAAAAGTTGAACTTACACGGCACAATTGCACACATGAAAGTAAAATCACGCTGCAAGATTGGATGCTGCACAAATATGCTAGAGATGCGTTATAAAAACTAGTGTTAGAAGCTTATTCGTTCATTATACTACTATAACAGTGGAAGAATAGAAGTATAAAGTGAATTTAGCACGTACTTGGGCATTCTGTGATGTGAGTTTGCACAGCGCACGCGTAACTGACGCCTTTATCCCCAGGGTTAGTTTAACCCTCAGGGTTCATTGGCCGTATTCATCAACCATAGGGTTCGTTGATGAATACGGCCACAGGTTCGTTGATCGATACGGGTGGATTGCGTTCGGTGGCAAACCCTACCCTATGGTTGATGAATACGGCCAATGAACCCTGAGGGTTAAACTAACCCTGGGGGTAAATTTAACCCTCAGGGTTCGTTGATGAATACGGCCACTGGTTAATAATATGACGTAGCACAGAGAATAGTGGTTTTTCAGAAAATTTCGCGCAAGAGAGGGCAATTTTTTAGGGTGGCTTTAATATGGCAAGCACTGTAGAAGATTGATTGAACAGGCCGCGCATTTGGTCTTATGGTTAGAGTTTTTTGCACTCTTACATACAGTAAGTTTCGACCAGCTTTAGGCGAAAATTGGATTGGCGGGCGTCCGCCTCGCAACGGTTCGCGCCATTTCGCAGCTACAGTATGTTATATCGCGCTGAGAACCCAAGCCTGCGTCTCTTCACTCTCCTCAGTCTTTGCTTGGCAAAGTGCCAGCGCTATGCGCTCGCGAAGCCTCCAGCGATGCGCACGCGTTGCTCCACGCAGAATAATTCGCCTAATCCGGGATGAAACCGACTATAGCGTTAGAAGAAAGCTAACTTTTGAAAACTTTTGTGCTTGAATTACTAAGAAATGTTTTATGATACGCAGTCGCCCTAATTGGAGCAATATTTTAGTCAACTGTATGGTAAATGTTTAAGTATGCACATGAGTGTATTTTTTTAATACAAAATTTCGCAAACCTTATAGCAAGCATCCGTTTTGTCCAAGTAGGTCCACCCAGTTTCACATCTCCCAGGGCAAGCTGAAAGGAACTCGGTTATTGAGAAGCAAAAATGTTTAGCTGAGAATTTTGTTAAAAACAGAGACATAATAATATCTCAATCAACCAACGCCTATGAACGATATCACGAGATGACGAAGCGAGGGCTCATAAACCGGATACGAAGACGTTCGAGAGCAAAGATTATATGCGCCGCTTCACTTTAGACATCCATTCTTAAAATGAAGAAACAGACAGCGTTATTTCTTCATTTTCTTAACGTCCGCCACAGATCAAGGTAATGAAAGCGGTTCAGTCGAAATTAGAGCTAAGAAACTATGAGAAATGTGGCTTTTTGTAGAATTTCTTACGAAATATAATTTATTGTTTTGAAATTCAATATCTTTCATTTTTGCTTTTGTACTTATGTTCTCTTTACCAAACCAAATTAATTTTGACTAAGCAAAGCGCATCATTAATTCTACCTGGATTCATAAAAATCTGTAGTGCGATTAGGGTGGAGCAAGCCTGCGCGGCTACGGGCGTACGCCGCGCAGTCTGCTCAACCTTAACCCTAAAGGCAGCCGTGGTAGGACCATGCATGATCAGGGCTCGGCACGAGGTGGCTAGTTGAAAATGCAAAAAACGAAGTCTCCCTTGATTTTTGCGAATTTTTACGAAGTCCTCTTTGACCCTAGACCAGGGCTCGGCACGAGGTGGCGTCCCGAAATTGCAAAAAATGAAGTCCCTTTTGACTTTAATGAAATTACGACATCCGCCACGAGATATTCGAAGAGAAAATACATGAAAGCGAAGGAACAAAGCAACAGCAGAAGAAGCAGCAGAAGAATAAACGAAAATGAATAATCGAACACACGCAATTATATTCATATTCTTCGGATTGGCGGCGTGATGTATCCATCGTGCAGCAATACGCGCCTAGAGCAGCCTTTCCGCGGCCATTCAAAATTTTCAAGGGGCTATAACCAGGGCTCGGCACAGGTGGCTTGCAAAGCAAGCTGGATATCGTTTTTGGGGGAAATGGCAAAGGGTATATCGTTTTTGCGGAAGAGCATAACACTGTCTTTCGATCTGCTGCCGGCACGCTGCCGGCATGCCGCCAGCAAATAAACAAAGGGTTTGTTTACAGCGAAGTGAAGATGAAATGGCACCAAAATAAGTGTGTAGATGGGCAATGGGGAGTTGGGACTATGTATGAAAAATTATGAAAAAATTATGTGAACTAAGGGCATGGCAAACTTTTTTCGAGGTTAGGTGGCTTTCAAGCCACCTGGATAGCCACCTGAGGTGGCTTAGCGCAAATAAAGTCATATAATTCCTATTCTTCACATAATTTTTTCAAATTTTTTACATAGAATTAATCTACATCTAATACTCTACAAAACAGCTCTTGCACATCCCCAAACCTTCTACTCCCCGTCTAGTTATAGCCCTTCTAATTATCTGGATGGAAACGGCAAAGCTGCTCCAAGCTCGCGGTTGTGCGCGGCGGACACAGCATGCCGCCAACCCAGAGAATACAAACAATTGCTAGTTCTTCTTGCCTATTTATTGTCTGTCTTGTATTCTGTTTCATCCTTTTTGTTTTCAAGTTTGATTTGTTCGTTAGCGGTCAAGGGGGATGTCGTACTTTTGTGGCGAAGTCAAGGGGGACTTCGTTTTTTGCATTTTCAACTAGCCACCTCGTGCCGAGCCCTGGCTATAACTAAGCAGGGAGAAGGGCGTTTGAGGCGGTTTAGGAACCAACTTGTAGGGTTCGGGATGTAGATGAAAAGTATGTAAAGAAAGTGGAAAAATTATGTGAGGGAGGAAAAATTTATGACTTTTTCTTTCCTAAGCCACCTCAGGTGGCTATCCAGGTGGCTTGAAAGCCACCTAACTCCGAAAAAAGTTGAGCACGCCTTTAGTTCACATAATTTTTTCATAATTTTTCATACTTAGTTCTAACTCCCCATTGCCCATCTACACACCTATTTTGGTGTCATTTCATCTTCACGTCGCTGTAAACAAACCTTTTGTTTATTTGCTAGCGGCATGCCGGCAGCGTGCCGGCCGCAGATCGAAAGACAACGTTATTCTCTTTCGCAAAAACGATATCCCCTTGGCTTTTTCCCCAAAAACGATATCCAGCTTGCTTGCCAAGCCACCTGTGCCGTGCCCTGTGCATGATGCATAAGTGATAGCCTTTTACTTTATCAAACTTAGTTTCAAGACGCTGTGTAACCTCTTAAATACATCTTCAGTTCAGCGGGGAAAAGATAATATAATCTGTATGATAAAGACGGTGTGACGGTGTGGTCACGCATCTTTGTAACATTACCCACTCCCTTCCTTTTTTCCACTAGGAAAGTGTGCGATCAACAACTCCAGGGGTACTCCCCCCCCTCTCCCCCCCCCCCCATCTCTTCATAGCTCCCATGGTTGATAACGCCATCAAATAACGCCTTCACTAAAGTGCGAGAGCAGCGACAACTCCGAAAACAGTTTTTTAATCAAAGGTGATTTAGTGTTTTTTCACATGGCAGCAAGCGATATGATAAGCTAATCAATATCAAGCTTATTTTCGAAATTGTCGTTTTTTAATTTTTCGTCAGGTTTGAGAAAGCAGGTTGAGATTTGAACCAGGGTGTACGTAATTATGCTGATCTTAAAAAAGGTAACTACTACTCAAATTTTCTTCCGCATCTGATTTTATAATTTTTTCTTAAGCTTGAGGCAGGAAACTGGGGTTTTCAAGAGGGTGAATGAGCATGCCGATCACGAAAAAAATAATCTTTATTATGATTATCCATCGAAAAATTTCAGTTCTTGCAAACTACGAGACGGATGAAAGTAAAAATTCTGGTTAGCAAAACATAAAAGAAAGACTAGCCATTGCCTTTCTTGATTTCTTCCATTTTTTGAAAATTTTGCGCTGGGACTCAAGGCCAGAGCTCAGACGATACCTTCGTCACGACAAAATATTCACTTACAAGGGTTTTTTTTTGAGAATGAAGGTTGATCATAGATTTGGATGCTTTTTTGAGATTGAAGTGTGCGAAATCGAATTTGACAACATCCAGGCTCATGAGACTTGACTACTTTCCTGAATACCGTTCACTCACGTGAGGTTTATCTATCGGTCATCGGTACGCTTATCTGAGCCTATAATCAGCTCAAGGCTCCACATCTTAAAGTTCAGATTGATAAAACGAATAATACTGTATGTAATCATGCTCACCTATCCCATGCCAACATTCAGCCTTCCAGCTTGAGCTCACCGAAAAATTCACATTAGCGACGTGTCATTTTATTCAAATTTGCTACTTATTTACAACTGTTACCAAATCCCCTTACCACAGCCAGTTTTGAAAAATTGACAAATTCTACAAAAGATTTTATTTGAAGTCAATATAATTACTCTCCCAGCATACAACTGTCGGTTTTCATAGCTTGAAGCAAAAACCGGAAAATCGATGCGGAGAATATTTCAATCATAATCAACTTACTCATTTCAGCCTGAGCGCTTTATTTGTAATCAGCTTACTCACTTTTATGCCAGCTCCTAGCTAGTAGTCCGCAAAAGCGATAAAATTATTACATTCCAGGTCACCAGCAAGTTGATCACATGGAGGGGTAGGATAACAACAGCTCTACTTGAACGAAGACGTGCCGAACACTGAGAGATCAAGGCAAGGATAGCATCCGAAACTGGGACTAAAAGAGACTTCGTGTCATCAACGTGTTGCTATTTGTTTTGGTAGGCGCTGAGCTCAAGTATCTACTGGTAAAATGGTTTTCATCACGATAAAAATGACAACTCAGCTTCCAGAACCAGCAATTATTTTATTAAAACCACTAGATAAACTTCTGTTTCACTATAGGCGACAATGGCTGACCCATCAGAGATGACCTAGTTCCCCTCGCAGCGCGTGATTATTGCGTCTCTATTCTTCGAAAATGATGCGAATCCGGTAAGGGCCGACAATCTGTGTTTTTGGCTCCGAAAATGACAGCTAGATCTTTCCGCAGTCTTATCCAACTACATTCACTCTCTGTTTCTCTCTCTGTTCTGGCAATAGCATCTGCTTCCGCCACCATCTTTTCATACAACAGCGCCCTTACAATGGCTTGGGCGTGCAAGTGGATTCATTTATAGGCGGCGGTCCATACTGTTGCCCTATTCGTAGGCAAGTGCACCATTTTATCTGACCTTTGACACCTGGACCTGGGACGAGACCGCGATATGAGCAATTACGAGTAGTATGTGCGGATGTTGCAGTATCAGAATGATTGGGGGTGTAGGCCCTTCTAAACCTGCTTCAACCGATAACTCTGCAAGAGATCTGCACTAATCAGGAGCCAGTCAGTATGATTGGCTCGCAATGGCGAGCGGTTGATATCAAGGCCCGTAGTAATCCCCCTTGGTGGTAATTACGACGTTTGTGAGCAAAGCACGTACCCAGTACGTGTCGTTTCGCCTACCCATTTTTCTTTTTGGTTTTTTTACACCGTTGCTTGTTAACTTATGTACTATGCCTATGCTTTTGGTCAAATTTGCGTTTTTTTATTGTTGAGTGTTGTTTCGCGCAGTTATGCTCGGTTTTCTTTTGGGTGATAATTTCATTTAAGCTTTTAAAAACGATGCAGATGGCGAATTTTTGTGACATTGATCATTAAACAACTCTGCACGTGTTACTTACAAAAGAAAAACATTTACAGCAGAGGTTTCCTATCTGTATTGTTCCTGTAATTACTTGTATTCAGACTTGGAGTAACGAGCATGACAGCACAGAACAATGCTCGACAAATAAAACAGTATCTTGAAAACGAACATACTTATAGCACGAAGATTAACAAACAATACAGTGAAAAACCGTAAAGAAACATGCGTAAAACCTGAACTGAAAGTTCGGGTCACGCTCTGCCGCCACTGGCCTGCTCTTGTTCGAATTCGAGTCCGTCCACTAACCGACTAGTGGAATGAGGACCACTATAATCACGACGTTTGTGAGCAAAGCATGTGCCCAGTACATGTCGTTTCGGCCGCGATTCATCCGGCGCTGTCTCTACCACGTCGACCGTGTGAAATTGACGGACATCGTGACTGTAGGACATCCTTGTGCGCATAAGGCAACGGGCATAGTGTCCACGATTTTGTCGCCGCGATTTCATCGCTGGGGTCGGTGATTTGGGCGACGAGATCGCGACAACGATCGTCCGTCGCGCGTGCATATGCATAGTGCGCGCGATTTCGTATCTTTGCAAACACAGGGCAGGTGCACGCAAACTGAGCAGACTGTTCTCGTGCGTTATGCGTTATCCCACTCACTTCACTCTCAGCATAGATCCCTTATGTCGGTCGTGATGAAATCGAGTACAAAGAACTCTCACATTTGCCCACCTTTCAACAAATCCAATTTTCACGAGCTTACCAGTTCTTAGCATAGTGGATCTAACCTGAGAATGTCGGACCTTGCAAGCCAAGAGCTACTATTAAGACACTCTTCACCAAATTTTTAGGTGGAACAAGCTAGTACGTGGATTTTGTAGTGCTTTAGCGAAGACCCACTTTAGACACCTTTTCGAAAAGTCGAGCACAGCATCCCTGCGAAGATAGCGAAAAAAAACAAGCATAAACGTTTGGTATTGGTAAGGAAGAGAATTCTGTTCTTATACGGATAACGAAACGTAAGAATATGCAAACAAGCAGAGTGATAATGTATTAACCCTGCGAGAAGCAAAGACTCCAACACAAAATCAAAAACAATCCAAAAAACCATCTCGTCAAAAATGCTTACACTTTCGAACAAGTCATCCGACAGTTTAAGGTTAGGAAAAGGCGTCGAAGTTAGAAGCAGGGTCAAGCGTGGAGTGCGGCACGCCACACCTGGGGGGTCGTATTGAGGAGTCAAAAGGGGGTAGTAGTTGGGTAATGTGATAATAGTGATAACATGATATTCGTATCGTATCCATAATTAGCATGTCAAATAACCCCTGTAGACAAAGCGTGAGCGAATTCTGAAGATTCAAGATACTAGGCTATTTAAGTGAAATGGTCAAATTCCAACATAGTTAACTTTGTTTCAAAGGTGAATTAGCTATCCGTTTTTGCACTCAAGACAAAGCACTACTCCTTCTTTGTCCACCGCAGGAATCCCGCTTCAGAAAACCTCCAAACTGTGGAATTAGAAGCCAACCAAAATCTCGTTTTTCCCATTTTTCGCTTTTAATCGCTGTGCTTTCACCAAATATTACTCGGAGCTAAGAAAACGAATCAGGCTCTAAACAGTCCTATGGAATCAACAAGGTTTAGGCTACCGATTCATATAAATACTGTCCGCTAAAAATGTTTTTTTGATATAGTTAATGGGGTGCGGCACACCTCCTTAAAAGCTGTGGCCGCCGCAGCTTTTAAGGGGGTGTGCCGCACCCTATTAACTATATCAAAAAAAACATTTTTAGCGGACAGTATTTATATGAATCGGTAGCCTAAACCTTTTAGATTCCATAGGACTGTTTGGAGCAATCAGGGGGGGGGGGTCATAACCAGCGATCGTGTGCCACACCCCTTGCTTGACCCTGGTTAGAAGTATCGTTGTACATACAGTTCAAACAAGTTCCATTTCTTTTTCAAACAAAAACAACTGAAACATCAGCGCCTGTCTATAAAAAATTCTCGAGATGTCCCCCGCACCTCAGCGATATCCCAGTTGCCCGTGCAGCACGCGCGACGCGACATCGCTGGGTTTTGCCGAAATCGCGGCGATTATCACTGCAGAACTATGCCCTAGCTAAAAAGAGTCCGCGATCCATCGCGCCGAACGAGTATCACAAGCGACGTAGCAGACACAAAGACATGCAATGAGTGCGTAACAGTTGTCGTAATTCAAAAATCGCAGCGCGACGGTATCGTGGACACTATGCCCTAGGCCTAAGAAGTCGTGAACGTCGCCACTTGAGGCGCAGACAAAGGAAAATAGTACGCCCACCGTGGAAACGCAGGAAGGCGCAGCCAACGAGAACTCGAGTATGTCGAGTTCGTCCTGTGCGCAAGGACCGTAGGCACACATTGCTAGATTTAACGCACGCCAAATGCAATCGATACTAACAGCTGATAAGCGCCCTAATGTCAATGTGCGAAGTGACTTATTCTGTTTTGTACATTTCTGCTGCTATATTTCTTGTAACTGAAAATTGTGAGTTTATCTTAATCGTAACTTCAGAATTCTAGTTGTTCGTATCTTAACATGTTTGAACTACTTTTTCTTTTTATTCTCATATCGCAACCCATGTGAGCACCAAATTTTCTTTCTGCTTATCTTAATCCCCTTACTTCTTTCATCTAAGCACAGTCATAACGTTTATATGCTGGATTGCTGTTCATTAGCTGTGCGTCCAGTGTTTTTATTCTAATTTGAGGAAAGGGGTAGGTGGGAACCGGCGTTATGGCTGTGAAATAGCTCATATTTGCACTAACCAAAGTAGTGATTGTCTTACAATATTCCAATTTTCCCGTATATTTTTAATCACTTATGCTTTTCATTGCCATTTTCCTCCATCGCCAAAAGAACTAACAAACTCCGTTCAGTTACATAAAAACTAACTAAGAAATTTGCAAAGCGTAGACTCACATGGTACCTGCTACGTTTAGCTCACCGGCATCCAGCATTGAGGCTGCGCTATTCGCTCCACTTGCAGTGGTGCTTCAACATGCTTCTTTGAGAGTATGGTGAAGGCAGTACATACCCTTACCATCTACATGGAGACTGATACACATCAAAGCCTGCTTATCGATTTGCTCAGAAGATATCGCAAGCAACTGTTTTGACTTTAGCACCCGCCATACTTGATCCGCTTTATCCACTTGATCCGCTTGATCCGCTTCGTCATTGGTCAATTCAGTGAACTGACCAATAGTGAAGTAGATGAAGTGTATCAAGCGGATCAAGCGGACAACCGCTTCGCTACTGGTCATCTCACTGAATTGACTAATGACGAAGCGGATCAAGCGGATCAAGTGGATAAAGCGGATCAAGTATGGCGGGTGCCTTTCGCATCTTGCTTCACTAGTTCCAACTTTGATTTGTTGATGGAAGAGATATCAATAGTGCAGTGGAAGTGCGCTCTGTCGGAAATTACCGTAATGCTCAATCGCGCATGCGGTATGACGTTTTTCGGCGACCAAGACATGTCGTGAGCAGCATGTCCTTCGTCGGACACGTCGTGACCTCGCTTTCTCTACATTACGACATATTTCGGGGGTTTAACTACGGGCCCTTGAGTCGCGCGAAAACTCAACGAGGCCACACCCTTTGCTGCGGAAATTAATGATATCTGAGATAGCAGAGTCCGCACTTGTTACATGCAAAATCGCTAACTGCCGCAGGCGTGACTTCGCATGACAAATGCCCTTTGGGACAGGCTATACATACAAATAGAGTAAAAAAACTCATAAAGATATGACTGTTAAAACAACATAATATACAACACATATTTTAATTTGCAAGCGTCACTATACTTCTGGCAGTCAACATAGAGATGCGCACACGTTAGAATGTGTGGTAATCGATTTGAAATCAGACAACCCAACTTCCTCCATACTCAAAAACCTCTAGCATGAAGACTGACGCCGTCCCGTCAGCTTTAGTCGACCAAGACCCAGAATTTATAAGGGTATCGGCCGATTGCTATGAGAACTGTGCGACACAGTACAGCTATTTCATTGTCCTCTAACCATTCCAATTGAACCAGAGTGCAATTAAGAAGCACAGCGTGCCGAAGCTGTTCGCGGCGGGTTTGTAATGGGCAATAAAATTGCTAAACTTTTGCGAATGGTTTCTTTTTTGAGCAGTGTCACTGAAGCAAACGAGTTGAGCGAATTAGGGAAGAAGGTAGATCAACAAGCAGGAAGTAGGGAAAAAACAGCATTAGTTTTTTTTGAGGAACCACTTACGACTAGACGATTCGGAGCCTTGCCAACAGCTGTTTGACCCTTTGAAAAATTTGAATGCGCTGATGAGATTCAGAAAATTTTGCATTAGAGCGGCAACTCCACTGCTTTTAGATATTACAACATTCCCATAGTTTTCTCTAAAGTTTGTATCAAATAGAAATAAGAATTTTGCTTACCTGTGTTAGAAGTGTTCAAGTGAAAAACGCCGAAGGACTGAGCGGAGCTTCTAGAAAACCCACCTTTTCAAATTGTATGTTGAAGTGGAAAACAAATCTGGGAATTTCTTCGTTGGTTGGGCCTATCAGTGCTGCCCCCAATACTAACGCGAAAAACGCAAGATTCATTGGACGCGTTCTGAACACTCACATTTACTACAGCAGATTTCACACGTAAGCAATAACTAAAATTTGGAAGTTGCTCGTGGAAGATGTGTAACGAGAAGTAAGCCTCCTTTTCATGATTTGAGCCTATCATATGAAGCAACTATGAGATTTTCGACCATGTTTCAGGATGTTGTCAATCTTCTCTCTATTCCCATTATTATGTTTTAATTTCCTTTTCTATGCAGCAGATGCAGTCAAATTGCTTGCACATCACAGAACGTACGAGATGTTACCAGATGTGTAGCAGAACCACTTTTGCAAAAACTTTTCGCAGAAAACGTGGTATTGGCATTGTTGTATTTATATAGCTTTTTCACAACTTTCCTGCAACTTGTGAAGCTCTCTAATAAAAGTAATGCAAAATACGCTCTGAAATTTCACTGCCCTTCAAAAAGTTGCAAATTTTTTAAAAAATTAGTTACCCAAAGACAGAATTTTTTCTTTTTTTTTACAATAGAGAGTGGCGCATTTCTTCGACCTCATAGCCTTCCCGGTATCACACTTCGACTTTTGATAAACTAGTAAAGCAAATTTTCCTTTCCTATAACTTCAAAAATTCTACCTCAAAACGCCAAAATCTTTTCTGAAGCTTTCTAGAGCAAAGCTGCCCAATTCTAAGATGCAACACAATCAAATTTGGCACCCTCCTTCATACCAAAGTCAAAAATTTCTCCGCACACTGGAGCTTTTGTACACTCGAAATTTCTTTTAATGGCATAATGTTGTTTACTCTGTCTGGGTTTTTCTCATACAGTCAAAAATTTACTTTCAAATAAACTCTGGCGTCACATGAAATTCTTCCTGACATCAAAACACCAAGAACAGAAGCGAAATGTTTTTACACATACAATGCTGGACATAATTATAAAGCCACTTCAAAAAAGGTTATATCTCGGTTTGAACAAGACAGATTTCACCCAAATTATACTATTTCGTATCTTTTGTATCAGTGCATCGTATGCTAAAACATCAGCATGTCAAATTTCCATCAGGGAATTTTTAAAAAGAATGGAAAATCGCAAAATTAAAGTTGGACATAATCATGAAGTCACCTCTTGTTTTATACCTTCACGGCTTTGTTTTGCTCCCGGTTTTTTTTTCATACGGATACATCCTCGAAGTGTGAGTCATGCCACAGAGCTCTATCGGAATTCGAAAGGGACGCATTATGGCCCTCCACTGACAAAACTGGTCCAGCCGCCGCATCGCAGCCGAGATCGGTAGAAGTCACGGGGTTATCGACAAGTACCTAGCTGATCCATGTAACTATGGAAGTGCTCATCATCCTGGACGTCCATTATCAGTCAGCGATCGGATAAGAGGCGCATAATCCGGGCTGCGTCCAACTCGCCCGCCAGTTTGAAGAAGATTCAAAAGGATTCAAGCCTCACAGGTAGCATTCGCACAATCCGGAGAGTGTTGAAACAAAATGAGGACAACGTCCGAGCTAAGATGAGCCCGTGCCCAAAGCTTACAGACCTTTACAAGAAGCAGAGTCTCGCATTCGCCGAGGAAAAACTCACACAACGGATTAACTGGAGCCGGGTACTAAGCTTTCTCAACTTTCTAACTCATTTCTGCTAGCTCGTTTAGATCGTGTGGTCGGATGAAAAAAGTTTAACCTCGATAGGCTAGATGGTTTAGCTTCTTACTGGCATGATCTGCGCAAGGAACCCCTATACTTCAGCGGACGAGATTCTAGTGTGGAAATGTAATGATCCGGAGAGCATTCAGCTCGTCGAGAACTCTTCCCCTTGCCTTTGTTTCAAATAAAATGAAATGACAAGCCAGGATTATGTAGAGATGCTAGGCCATCATCTTCTACCGTACTGGTGAGAGGGGCTCACTTTATGCAAGACAAGGTATACGTCAAGATGAACGATAGCTGGTAACAGTGACGCGCGGGGTCATGAACTGGATAACGTATTCGCTCGAAGCTCCGCCCTATTGCGGCGGACGGGTTTCTCGGACGATATGTCAAGTAAAACTAACTTTTGATAGTGAGATATAAGCTTCTTGCAAGCTGGGGTGGAACTTGACTGCTTACAGAATCTTGTTTTGATTTTTAGTTTCTTTTTTTGGCAATCAATGAACAGCTGATGTTTTGGTCGTGAAATTCGAGAGATTTGCTGATTTACCTATGACTAGCGAGTGACTCCTGTGGCCGTATTCATCAACGAAACCCGTGGGTTCCGGAACCCGCTGAGTTAGTGCTTTTAATGAATATCGATTCTACTCCAGGAAAGAATCGATATTCATCAAAAGCACTAACCCAGTGGGTTCCGGAACCCACGGGTTTCGTTGATGAATACGGCCACTGGATATCGAACTTTGAAGTTTGAAATCATGAACACCTCAGGAATGATTGTCTGAGTGACCTCACATCTTACGACTAGTTCACACGCAATTTCGATTGAGTTACAGATCGATTTATATTGAGGATAGCAGTTTTTGGTAGCAAAATGAAAGAATGGTATTTAAGGCAGTTTCGGAAGATATAGGTGCAGTATGATTTTCCTGAAACCTAAGAAAATTTATGTGATATGACCAGGGTCAAGCAAGGGGTATGGCACACGATCGCTGGTTACGATCCCCCCCCCCCCCCTGATTGCTGTTTTAATAAGACCCCCCCCCTAAACTATACACTTAAGATAGCACTACTTGAAGGCCCTGTCAAACATAATGGGCAACATATCCATAATTAGCATGTCGAATAACCCCTGTAGATAAAGTGTGAGCGGATTCTGAAGATTCAACATACGAGACTACCTAAGTGAAATGGTCATTTTTCAACATGTTTAACATTGTTTCAAAGGTGAATTAGCCATCCGTTTTTGCACTCAAGACAAAGCACTACTCCTTCTTTGTCCACCGCAGGAATCCCGCTTCAGAAAACCTCCAAACTGTGGAATTAGAAGCCAACCAAAATCTCGTTTTTCCCATTTTTCGCTTTTGATGGCTGTGCTTTCAGCAACTATTACTCAGAGCAAAGAAAATGAATTAGGCTAAAATTACTCCTTTGAAAACTAGGAGATCTAGGCTATCGATTCATATAAATACTGTCCGCTAGAATTGTTTTTTTGATATAGTTAATGGCCTGCGGCACCCCCCCCCCCCCTCAAAACCTGCGGCAGTCGCAGGTTTTGAGGGGGGGCTGCCGCAGGCCATTAACTATATCAAAAAAACATTTTTAGCGGACACTATTTATATAAATCGATAGCCTAAACCTTGTAGATTCCATAGGACTATTTTGAGCCTGATTCGTCTTCTTAGCTCCAAATAATACTTGGTGAAAGCACAGCGATCAAAAGCGAAAAATGGGAAAAACGAGATTTTGGTTGGCTTCTAATTCCACAGTTTGGAGGTCTTCTGAAGCAGGATTCCTGAAATGGACAAAGAAGGAGTAGTGCTTTGTCTTGAGTGCAAAAACGGATAACTAATTCACCTTTGAAACAAAGTTAACCATGTTGGAATTTGACCATTTCACTTAGGTAGCCTAGTATTTTGAACCTTCAGAAATCGCTCACACTTTGTCTAAGGGGTTATTTAACATGCTAATTATGGATAGGATACGAATATCATGTTATCACTATTATCAGATTACCCAACTACGACCCCCTCCCCTTTTGACTCCTCAATACGACCCCCCAGGTGTGGCGTGCCGCACCCCACGCTTGACCCTGGATATGACGCTATTTTCAAAACGAATTAGTTCGCTTGAAACAAAATTCGCCTATAATGCTTTTTTGAATTCTCGTCGCAATGAAATCTGTTTTTAGCTATGAATTAGGGTTTTAAAACTTACTTTTCCGTTAAAAATATAATGGTGTTTCATTTCATAAGCTGAATTTTTTTGAAACTGAACTTGAGAGTGCACATCAAAGCATATTCAATATGGTAACAGATGTAAATAGAGAAAAACACTTTTCCAAGCATTTTCGAAACAGTTTTCTCATACCTGCAATGAAAAATCATTTTGGACAAGCCTACTAGGAACAAGTAACTGAAACACATTAGAAAGAGCTTGCGAACTAATTCTATAAGAAAAAATGATCTGAAATCTGATTTTCAATTCAATTGAAATTTTGCAATCTACCGTTTCCACATTGCAACCAACTGAAGTAGCATGGACGAAGTATTAGAGAATTTTCTAATAGCTGCAACGCATTCCTAGGCTAATTAACAGGGGGCGGAGCGACCAGCACACCGCGTACGGTACCCAGCTGGCGGCTGGCACATGATATCGTTCAACTTGACCGCTACCCCAAGACAACGCCTCCATTCACAGGTGTAATGCCACCTTACAGTACCTGCACAGCAGCAATATAGCGTTACTTAACTGGCCAGCATGCTCTCCAGACCTCAATCCCATTGAAAATTTGTGGGGCATTATTGTGCGCGATATTTACAGCGATTGTAAGCAGTATAATAACCTCAACGACCTGAAAGAAGCAACATTGTCTGCATGGGAGAATATACCCAATTAGGTTCTGCTTAACCTAACCAACAGTATGTCCAAACGTCTTCTAGAGGTTGTTAGAGTAAAGAGCAACCCAATTGATTATTGAAAATTGTTCTTGCCTGAATTTGCTTGTTGTAGTTTGAGAGGCTATATAAGCGGTGCGAGCGGTATTGTACGTATTGTAGTATATTGTACTGTATCGTATTACATCGTGTTTATTGTAGTTACCATACCGTAAGTTTGTTAAGTTTGTTGGTGTACATAATGTGACATTTAACGAAGATACTTAGATGACACAACGATCCGATATAAAACATAAGTATACTGAGCTATGAGAAGTAAGAGGTACGACAATAAAACGATGGCAGTACGTTATGACGACCTTTTATATTGCAGTGTTATCGAATCATCTTATAGTCAGTACTTTGAAGGGCTTACATAACTCATAGATAACGGAAGAAAGCATTTATAGCTTTGCCCAAAAGTTACAGCTATGAAG